GAATGGTTGTTTGTCTTGTTTGTCTCTATGTGGCCCTGTGATGGACTTGCGACCCGTCCAGGGTGTACCCCGCCCCTCGCACAGTGATTGCTGGACATGGGCACCAGCGACCCCCGTGACCCAAAATGGAATAAGCGGGTAAAGAAAATGGATGGATATATATATATATATATATATATATATATATATAGCTCTGGGGGGCTAATTTAATATATATTAGCTCTGGAGCTAATCACATATACTGTATATAAGCTCAGGGGGGCTAACATCATATGCAGGTGCTGGTCATAAAATTAGAATATCATGTAAAAGTTTATTTATTTCAGTCATTCTATTCAAAAAGTGAAACTTTCATTCAACCTTTATTTAGACAGGTAAATCCCATTGAGCCTCGAGGACTCAATTACAAGAGAGACCTGATTTCAACAAAGAATGATGATAACAATGGACAATAACGACAACAATAAACAGTTAAAAAAGTCATACAATTTTTTTTTAGCATATAGGATGGCTAAAAAAAAAAAAAGTAAAAAGAAAAGAAAAGTAACAAAAAACAGCTAGATTCTAAGGTGAATGTAGAAAACTAAAAACAGGAGCATGTCTGCATTGGTCCCTGCCAGGAGTCCAACAGATTCTTAAAGCCACTTAGAGAGGTCAAGGTCGAGAGCTTCAGATCTTTTTGTAAGATATTCCAGGAAACAGGAGTAGAGTAGGAGAAGGCCCTTTTGCCTAGTTCAGTTAGCACTGAGGGAACACTGCCGGTAATGATGTCCTGAGAGCGCACGCTGTAGCTGCACTCACGCAGAGACATGGAGGAGATGTATGAAGGCAGCAGACCAAGAAGTGATTTAACGATGAAAATGTACCAGTGAGAGAGTCTTTGTGAAGTTAATGATGTCCAGTTAACCAGTGAATACTGGGTGCAGTGGTGGGTACGATAATCACAGCCAGTTATGAATCTTAGTGCAACATGATAGACAGCATCCAACATCTGCAGGGTTCTTGTAGGAGCGTTCATGTAAATAATGTCACCGTAATCAATTGAGGGAAGGAAAGTCACAGATACAAGGCGTTTTCTAGAATTCAGAGTTAGACAGGATCTGTTTCTGAAAAAGAAACCCAGTTTAACTTTCAGTTTCTTTACCAAGTTTTCCACATGGAGCTTAAAAGAGAGATGCGAGTTGACCAAGATGCCCAAATTTTTGTAGGAATCAACAAATTCAATGGGGACACCATTTGAGGATGAGATCAGAGGAAGAACTGCTGGGACCAACTTCCTATTTGAAAAAAGCATCCCTTTGGTTTTGTCGACATTTAGGATAAGTTTGAGGTGGAACAAATCTGTCTGGATGTTGTTGAATGCAGATTTCAAAAGCTGGAAAGCCTTAGCAACAGTTTTAGCTCGACAATAAACAACTGTGTCATCAGCATAGAAATGTATGGATGCATTAGGGGTGTTTTTATCTACATTATGGATGTAGATTGTAAAGAGGATTGTAGATTGTACAGCACTCAATACTTAGTTGGGGCTCCTTTTACCTGGATTACTGCAGTAATGCGACGTGACATGGAGTTGATCAGTCAGGCGAGTTTGCTGGCCAATTAAGAACAGGGATACCATGGTTCTTAAACTAGGTACTGGTAGCTTTGGCACTGTGTGCAGGTACCAAGTCCTGTTGGAAAATGAAATCTGCACATCCATAAAGTTGGTCAGCAGCAGGAAGCATGAAGTGCTTTAAAATTTCCTGGTAGATGGTTGTGTTGACCGTAGACCTCAGAAAACACAGTGGACCAACACCAGCAGATGACATGGCACCCCAGACCATCACTGACTGTGGAAACTTGACACTGGACCTCAAGCAATGTGGATTCTGTGCCTCTCTTCTCTTCCTCCAGACTCTGGGACCTTGATTTCCAAAGGAAATGCAAAATTTGCTTTCATCAGAGAACATAACTTTGGACCACTCAGCAGGAGTCCAGTCCTTTTTGTCTTTAGCCCAGGTGAGATACTTCTGACACTGTCTCTTGTTCAAGAGTGGCTTGACACATGGAATGCAACAGCTGAAACACAGGTCTTGCATACGTCTGTGCATGGTGGTTCTTGAAGCACTGACTTCAGCTGCAGTCCACTCTGTGAATCTCCCCCACATTTTGGAATGGGTTTGATTTCACCAGCCTCTTCAGGGTACATTTATCCCTATTGCTTGTACACTTTTTTCTACCACATCATTTCCTTCCCTTTGCCTCTCTATGAATGTGCTTGGACACAGAGCTCTTTGAAAGACCAGCCTCTTTGGCAATGACCTTTGGTGTCTTGCCCTTTTTGTACAAGGTGTCATTGGTCATCTTTTGGACAACTGTCAAGTCAGCAGTCTTCCCCATGATTGTGTAGCCTACAGAACTAGACTGAGAGACCATATAAAGGCCTTTGCAAGTGTTTTGAGTTAATTAGCTGACTCTAGTGTGGCACCAATTGTCTTCAACATTGAACCGTTTCACAATATTCTAATTTTATGAGCTACTGAATTTGGGGTTTTCATTAGTTGTTAGTTATAATCAACATTAAAATAAATAAATGTTTGGAATATGTCAGTCAGTCTGTGCGTAACAATTGAATATAATATACAAGTTTCACTTTTTGAATGGAGTTACTGAAATAAATCAACTTTTTCATGATATTCTAATTTTATGACCAGCACCTGTGAAGTAGCTCTGGAACTAATGTGAAAGCTGAGTCATTTATTCATTTTCTGTCAACGGGCTCTGGTTCAAATTAAAGGGCTGAAGGTCAACCTTTCTATGTCATTTACCCAGAATGCATTTCAATGTAAATGAAGTAGTGATGTTTGTGTGCCAATAATTTTTAGCAATTATAAAAATTAACAGCCTACAGTATTGTTACGGTCTTGTTTTATAACTGAAGTAGTTAGACAAATAATGTTATTAACTTACTTTTTATATATATGAATGTTTCTGTTCAGTGTCCTGAGATAACTTCTGTTGTGACTTGGCTCTATATAAATAAACTGAATAGAATTGAATTAAAGTAAGGCACATTGTTTCAACTAGTGGGTCCCTTCAAAACATATCTTTTTATTATTGAATAAAGTTTTTCAAACAAACTCAAGTTGTTAACTTATAGGCAATGGTGAGCATGTACTAATGTGTCTAATATGCGCTAAAGTTGGATTCATCTTTGTCTTGTCCCAGGACTTTGTGAAACTGCACCAGAAATGGACCCAGAAGCTGAAGACCTGGACCATAGTGGACTACTCTGGTCAGGCTCAGATGGTTCTCAGGAACTTTGTGCTTCTGAACCTTTAGCAGAGTCTTACGATGAAGACAATGACAGTGGGTCCCCCTCAGACCCACAGAACCCTGATGTATCCAGGTCTGACCCTGACTCTCCAATCTGCCCACATGAATCCAGAGAGACAATCACAGAATCTCCTCGCATTCAAACCACTCAAACATCAACACCCTCATCCCCAGAGCTTCAAGGCAAGATTTCCCGGCAACATCTGCAGCCTTCATCCTCCTCCTCTCTTGGCAGTGCTGCTGACATGATCCAGGTCCTGACCCCGAGCACAGAACAGGCCCAAGAAACCAGAGATAGGCAGGGCCCTAGGATTGAGAACAGGAGTGTCGAATCTTCAGAGGAAGGAGGGAGTGCCGAAGCACCTCCTGCTTCTGTGTTCTCTGGAATTTCAGACGAGAATACTGAGCAGGCAGGGAGGATAAACTTGGGTGCTGACGGAGATCTCGGCAAAGCAGACAGGCAAAAGCTGAGACAAACACGTAAGTATCTGCCTTAACCCTTATTTTGATATTTCAGACACTGAATGTCCAGACTGTGCAGTTTCCAGTTGTAATTTGAAATGATCATGGGATTTGTGCACAAATTAGAGACTATTAGTGGTGGCTTCAATGCATAAACTCAAGTTTCAAATTACAAAAACTAAAACTGTATTATTATTAATTTTTGCCTGTATTTATTCTAGTAATCTTGTGACACTGAAAGATTTGGCATAAACACTGAATAACTTGTGGTTAACACAATGGATGCTGCTATTTTCATGATATTACGTAGGATCTTTTTGAGGTGGACTTAAGGGGAGAATTCCCACGGCTTTATTAGTCCATGCAGGATAAGAATAAAACAGGACCATATGACGAGGCCGGCAGGAGCAGATTTGACAGACACCAACATGTGTCTCTCTCTCTCTTTGGACTGTCACTCGATGCCTTTTCCAACTATAAGACGTGACTGCAATGGAAAGTGAACTCCTCACTTTCCTTCCCTTACAGATCCCTCATGGGTTAGCTGTAAGTAAATATGATGCTTTTATTAGTGTGCTTAGTTCAGCAAGAGGGAGCTTGAAACATTTTACTTGTCATGCTGGCTTCAAATAAAAATAGTGAAACTCTTCAGGTATTTGTCTAGTGAAGTATTTTTATCCTTTTAATTGACTAAAGGGTTTTCACTGATGACATAATGTTTGCTAACAGTAGTTTTTTATGCTGATCAACACCCCCCACCCCCTTTCTGTTCTTTTCTTTGTGTCGTTTTTTGTTTCAGGCCTTGGTCATAAAGAGAGCCAGTCAGAGAGACATGTGAAGGAGACCAAGTCTAAATGTAGGAGAATTGCCCAGCTCCTAGCCAACGCACCCAACCCCCAAAACAAGGGAGCTGTGCTTTTCAAAAAACGTCGTCAGAGGGTCAAGAAGTACACCCTTGTGAGTTACGGAACCGGTGTTCACCCCCTCGATATCTTTGACCCGATAGAGGGGGAACCTGGCAGAGTTGGATCAGTTGAGTGTAACTTTGTGGCTTCGAGTGATTCAGAGCTCGAGGAGCAGTTTTCTCTTTATCACCAGCAGCATCACTTGGGTCTAAACTGGGGACGCATCCAGGATATGGAAACACTGGCAGACACAAGAGAGAAGGGAGTTTTGATGTTCGATCAGAGACGCAAGCGAATGGATGACCTCGGGTCAGAGCATGAAGAACTGATGAATAAAGGATTGACTGAAATGAGCGTACAAGAATTGCAAACATCCAGATCGCAGAACATTTACGACAATAGGAAAAGTTATGTGCTCTCTTATTTAGATAACCATGAAGATATCCAGCAGGTGAACCACTCCTCCGCTGTGCCAAAACCTTTGGTGCCAAATAGGACTGCAAAACCTTTCCTGGGATTTCAAGATGGCTCAGCTGCTGCAACTGCAGACATGCCTGTTCCTGCCACAAAGATGCATGAGCCAAAATTCAAAGTACCTGTACCGATAAACACTAACCCAAAGGTTTGGTCACCAACTGGAGACATCATAGCCTCAAGAGATGAACGAATCTCTGTGCCAGCTATCAAGACCACCATCCTACCAGAGTTTAAACGGAAAACTGCCAATAAACACCCATCCGTGTCAAGAAAAGAATCAGAACTTCACATTCAGAACAAAGGGGATAGGAGGTCTTACATTGAGTCTGAAGAAGACTGTTTTAGTTTGGGTGCTGAGGCTTGCAACTTCATGCAACCCAGAACAATAAAACTCAAGAATCCACCTCCAGTTGCCCCAAAACCAACCATCGACCCTGCCTGCCCACCTTGGATGATGAAGAGTTCTTCAAGTGAGCCCATTAACCCTTCAAGAAGTCCGGTGTCACAGCCCTCCCACAGTCCTGTCAGGCCCCACAGTCAGCAATATTTACAGCAGCAAGATTGGGCTCAGCCTCAGCAGGTGGCCAGCCATTGGGCATCGGATCCAACACAGGCAACACTTCAATCAGCTGCCAACGCCCGGGTTCCAATCAGCTCCTCTTCTCTGCTTCATCTTCAGCCAACCACAAATATCTGGAGTCAACAGCCGTCACAGTCCCCTGTGAGTATGCAGGCCCGTAGTCCTACTTATAGCCCACATTTAGCCTCAGTGAATAAGTCAGAGAGTGCTCCTCCACATGCAGGAAAACCATACGTCCCACAAGTTTCCCCAAAGGCACAAGTTCAAGTCAGAGGTAACAATCAGGCTGGTGATGGTCCAGCCATGGCAGGAAAAGGTGCAAAACTATTTGCCAAAAGGCAGTCACGGATGGAGAAGTTTGTTATTGAGGCTGAAACAGTGAAAGCTCACAAAACAAGATCCCCCTCACCAACCATGTCCCTCCCCAACTCTTGGAGATATTCATCCAATATTCGTGCCCCACCTCCTGTGTCATATAATCCTCTTCTGTCGCCGTTCCATCCTCAACCTGCAGCCAAACAACCCCCTTCCACAAGCCCTCAGATCAAGCCCAAAGAGAAACCTAAATCTGCCCCCAAGCAACTCAACGCTTTAGATATTATGAAACACCAGCCTTACCAGTTGAGCTCGTCACTGTTCACATATGATGCAACCTCCGAGGCCAAAAGTCTGAGCCCCAAACCAACCCCCGTGTCAAAGTTTGAAGTCACCAAAAACCTTAAACAAAAGTCTGCCTCCTCTCATTCATTTATCCCTTCTGAACCTGAGTCCCCTGCTAAATCTTCTGGATTGGTAAGTCCTCAAAATCCCTCCACTCAAAATGCAAGCTCAGCCCAGCCACTTTTAACTGACAAGCATTTGGATGAAAAGCTCGCTGACACCACTGCAGCTCCTCACACGAGCAGCCAGACAGCAGCGAGCGCTCGGCCTGCACGCACATCCTCCCAGCACTCAACCCCTGGCGACAGCATTGCTTCAGCTTTCTCTCCTGCATCTCTTATTGCCAGAGGCGTGCGTCAAATGGCTCCTCGGCCAACATTTTCTGCTAAGAAGCCGGGGGTGGCAGGAAAACAGTGGAAGCCTGTTGCTATGCTTCCTTCAGTCTAACACTGTACATGGTCATGTAGTCCGAGACAATAATTACATCATCATGCCTGTGACTCAGAGCTCCTGAAACATCTTGACAAATGGAAATGTTTAGACTTTTGCACTAAATGTAGACCTGACCTAAAGTTTAAAACAGTATGCAGCTACCAGGATATATGTAGCAGTTTACAAACTGTGATAATTAAAATTTTATCCACCCTTTCACAATAAAATAATCTCTGGACACAGGGAAGTAGGACAAATATCTGTGCCTCTAAACAGAAGAAGGAGGATAAAGTAAAATAATGTTAATGGTTCTCTGGAAGAGCCTTTAAATGTCCAATAAAATCTGCAGAGGCTTGCTCAGCTACCGCCTGTCATTTGTAGTTTATACATTTTTATTAGTAGTAGTAGTTTTTTATGTAATTTTTACATAGCAGAAATCCCTACACAAAACAAATAATTGTATTTCAAATGCAAGTGATTAAATAATCAGGGATAACAATAACTTACCTGTACAGTCGTAAATGCAGAGAACTTTAAATCATTTATTGTGTTTCTTAGGGGTAAAACCTACCTACACATTTCATTTGTGTGCACACAGTTCTTGATTCCTTCAGTCTCATTCCAGACTTTGATAATTTCAGAACAAACTGGAGCATCATTATTGTGATAAACTAACTCAAAGACTCCTAAATTATTCGAACAAGGACATGTTTTCCACATCTGCCATGGACATTTTGTCCAACTGTCAGAAATGTCACCTCATATTTTGTTTCCACTCGTTTCATCACTTATTGAACTCATTATTAAGATTAAACTCTGGGTGAAACGAGGGAAACAGCTGTCTTCTTCTGTCCCTGTGTGTTTTTCTGATGAAATTCTTGTACCTTCAGCTCTGTCTTGCTATTAAATTTCTTTTTTCCTTCTACTTGTGTTTGTTTTTTATATATCTCACATGCTCTGAGTGATCTGTTCTTCCTACTTTATGTGCCTCAGCACTTCACACGTTTTACCACTTTTTTCTCAACCACCAGCACTTATTATTCCAACTAACTTAACACGCTTCCTCGTAATATAAATTAGATTTTTGAAAATTAATATTATTTCTATTGGACTTTGTAAAGCTTCATTACAAACAACTGTAATCAAAAAGTTCACACATTTGGAGTTGGTGTGCTGTTTAATTCATAATTATCTTACCTGTTCTAGACAGTTCTTTCAACAACCTCAGTTTGGAGAAACTGACTTTATTTGTGACTGGCTGATGAGCTAATGGCTAGTCCAAGAGGAACCAGGATCAAAGTCTTAAAAATCTGTTTCTGAGATTTTATGACTTTTTTAATGATAATATTTCATAAACTTTTCTAAAACCGTCATTTTGACATTAGTTATTTTCAGTTATTGAAGACTGGTGCTGATAGAAGAAACAGCAGATTTATGTATAAGCGTGTAGGAGGCCATACAGCAGTACTATGCCGATGCAGGAATGCAAGACGGCGTAAGAAGATAAGCTAATGCTAGTTAAACTTTGCTTGTTTTGTCAATAAGCCCATTAAAGGCCTGCAGGCTGTTCACATCAAATCTAGGGCACCAGTCGGCCCCCATGGAACCACGGGCCTCTGGGTTCCAAAAATTAAGCTGGAAGTGGAATGGACTGCCCAATGCAACGACTCCGAACCCCCAGCTGAACCGGCACAAGCTGGACTGGGCCTTACAATGCAAAAGGGCTGTGCATGTCTTTGTATCCCTCATACTAATGTTTAAAGTTTAAATATTAAGGTCACTCAATTCACTCACTTAACTTACCTGAAAAAGCTTCCACGCCACCCCCACCCCCACCCCCACCCCCACCCCCACCCCCACCCCCAAAACGGTTAGTGGTAGTAATAGTGGATTTAATAAGTAATTCTTGTGTTTATGACTCAACATTACTGATATCATGGGGGTATAGCCTGGTTTGAGGAATATGAAAAGGCCTAGGCCCATTTAATGGTCCAGACTGGGGGTATACTATGGCCTGTTATACTGGGGGGGGGGGGGGGGACGGATGGATGACTGATAGATGATGGATGATTGCTGGATGGATGGATGATTGCTGGATGGATGGATGATTGATGGATGATGGATGGATGGATGGATGATTGCTGGATGGATGGATGATTGATTGATAGATAGATGAGGATGTTAGAAATTTTTGTGTTTAAACAGCGCTGGTCTCGGCTCTACTCAGTCCAGTCATTACAAATCTTAAAGCTGATGGATGGGTGGGTGGATGGATGGATGGATGGATGAATGGATGGATGCTTGATTGATGGATGATGGATGATGGATGATGGATGGATGGATGGATGGGTGGATGGATGGGTGGATGGATGGATGAATGGATGGATGCTTGATTGATGGATGATGGATGAATGGATGGATGGATGGATGGATGGATGGATGCATGATTGATGGATGATGGATGAATGGATGGATGGATGGATGGATGCTTTATTGATGGATGATGGATGATGGATGAATGGATGGATGGATGAAAACCAATGGGGATGTTACGATTCTTGGCTGTTGAAGCAGCTCTGGTCTCGGCTCTGATCAGCCCGATCGTTACAAATCATCTTAAAGCTGAAGTCTTTCAAAGACCTATCTACAACAGGTAAGATGATAATTGTTCCTTTTCCACAGAATCCTACCTCAAAATGTCCAACCCAAGCATCACCAGCAGCTAAATGACATTATAAATGGCAGCTAAAACAGTAAAACTAATTAACATCTAATGACTGTCTTGGACATTGTACAATAATTTAATAATTATCAGTCAACAATCTATTAAAATAAAATCCCATTTTGAACCTTTTTTTCTTTTCTGCATCAAAACATTTTTCAACAGCAGTAGATACCACTTTGTGACTATTTAAATATAGACTAAAATAGAATTAACTGTTGTTTACCAGGTTGTAAAATACGACATCAGATTATGACAGGGATTAAACTATGTAAATATTTAAGAACAACCCAAATCTGTTGTATAAAGTTACGTGTTTCAGATTAAAGTCAACCTTGTTGAAACAAACTTCACATTTTTCAGCTCTGCAAAAACAATATCTAATCAGCTTTAAAGCAGATTCAGAGAGATCTGACAAAGTATTCTTTACTCAAACGGACAATAAAAGCTGGAGAGAAAACCAAGATGGCAGACAAAGCAAAGCTTTTCATCTTTTCCAAACATTTCTTAACTGTTTGAACCAGGAGAGGGTAAGTTCTGAAATGTTTCTCATAGTTGTTGTTAAAATTATTTACAGTCTTTGTCTTATCTTACTCTGATATTTGCAGATAATTCTGGAGGACAACTTAAATCCTCTAAAAGCTGCTTGATGCTGAAAGCAGGATTTTCAAAATATAACATTGAAGATATGTGGCCAGAAATCACATTTTGAGGATAAGAACTATTGAATTAGTTGTAAATCTCAGAAGATTTGATTGTTTGAGAATAAATGTGCATTTATTTGTATTCTTGGTGTGAGACTAACCTAATTCATGGCTTCGTGGCACGACTGTTCCAACAAACTAAACTCTCTTCCTTCAGGCCTTTGCCAGGAGCCGCTCTCTGAGCCTGCAGCTCAACTCTGCGCCGTTTCCTGGACTTCTGTCACCTGTCAGCACACCTGGCATGAGGCCATCTTTAATATCTACTCAGAGGCAAACATCGTTTCATAGCAAACCGCCGTCTCCATGGGAGGCGGCATCCAGAAGCCCCCTGGGTTCCGTGGATGAGGCCTTCAGGTTCCTCAGCCTCCCTTTGTCTTCTGCTTCTGCCGGCGCCACTGCAGCGCACCAAAAGGTTCTGCCGGAACCCCCAGAGGACTGGAAGCGCAGGGTGTCTCTGGAGCCAGCAGCCGTGAGCAGAGGTTATCATCACCACGTGACCCCGGCCTTTCAGGCAGCGTCCACGAGGATGTTTCCTCCTGAGAGAGCGGCCTTCTGTGGGCCTCCTTTTAAACCCGCGCAGCCTTTCAGGCCTGTCGGGGCTGCATTCAAAGACAAGACGTTCAGCTGATGTCTCAAATGTAGACTGCAGCTCAGAGCACTTAGAAATCACATTTAGAGCAAAAGAACATAATTTAATGTAGCTACTGACTGATTTATTCATATCCTCTGCTGTGATTTTACTGAGATGCAATTAACGTAGAGCTTAATTTGTAAACTGATTGATGCTGGAATGCAAATAGCAGGCAGGTCAGCGGGGATGGGGGTGACTAGGTTCCTCCGATATAAATTTTTGAATAAAGTAGATGTGATTTCCTACATTTTGATGTATTTGAACAAGTTGTTAAACATCTACGTCTACCTACATTTGTAAACTCTCCTCTTCTGTCAAGCATCCCACCCCCCCACTTACTTGATGGTTCTGAGCCTGACACTGTCCCTGTTCATTGCTCGTTGTTGTCCAACTCCACATGTGAAACCTCCAGGCACCTCCTTCGTCTGTTCATGGCGGCTGCCTGTGGACTCCTGCCCACGTACGACTGCTTGGTTAGCTCAGCGCTCACCCCCACCACTCTTTAAGAGGTGGAGATTTTTTTAAGGGTAGACGCAGAAATTATACTTGAAGGGGCAGCTCATTTGCTTGTAAGTGGCTGTTATGTTTAAAATTAGTGTTTATGTAATTATTTTCAGTTTACATATCCATTATAAGTTTTCTTCATTCAAGGCAGTCATATTTGTTCACAACTTTATTATTAGTATACCTGAGAGTTACCGGATTCAAGCAAATAGTTACCAGTATGTACCCTGTCAAAATAAGAGAGTTCCCAGATACTGTTCTGGCAGGATCTGGTTCAAATTAAGCCCTGGGTTAACGAATGCAGACGCCTCTGAAAGAGTTGGACAAACAGAAAGGAAAGTGTAAATGGGACAGTCCTGAGGAGACAAGTTGAGTTTTAATGGTAAAAATAAAGTGATTTAGTCTCATGAATCTGTAGTTTAAATAAATCATGTTGGCAGATTACACAACTCAT